TCTTTGGTGGGAATTGAAAATTGTTATATTTTCGTTGTGCATGATTAAGTAAATTCCCAACAAAAACTACCCTTCATGTACCACGACTGAGACACCACCAGCACCACACCCCTATCATCCCCAATCACTGCTCCCATCCCGATCCACACCTCCCCTGAACGGATAGCTGCATTCTGTTCCACTTTAGCACCCCCTCCTTCTAAGCCTCCCATCTTCCTTCCTCCCCACCCCCACGGCCCCATCTAACTCTACCCATCCACTCCATACACAAGTTCACTGCCTGCTCCGCCAACACCCCCCGCCTTCCTTGCCTGTCCCCAAAGATCATCCTATTTCGCTTCCCTCGTATAACCCACATGGCTCAACAAAGAAATTCCAGCTACGACTGAGAACAGCCCTTATCTAACCCCATCAGAATTCCTCAAGTATTGTCTGCCAAAGAAAATGGTTTAAAAGCTGCACCATCCCATCTGCTTCCAGACGAATTTCACCCCATCACACTGAAACAGCACATGGACTGCTGTGTCCTGCTCCCCAGAGCGAAAGTACTTGCCATCCTGAATCAACTGCCTCATGCTAATTAAGGTGAGTAGGCAACGAGTCATTAAAAACCCGCCAAATGAATAACTTAATTTTGGTTCCAGTTTCCACATAAACCCAGCAGTGATTGATCACAGATTTTGACTTTAAGAACTTGAGACTAAAATAGAGAAGAAAAATTGGAACATAAAATAGCTGTCCAACAAGAAGCTTTATTCGAACATGGTTGAACCTTTATTTGAAAACCAATATTAAGTTACACAAATTTCTGTCAGACATTTGCTTCAAAATCTTATACATAAATTTGTTTCTTTATCTAATCTTGGTCAATATACAAGAACGTGTGTCCAAATTTCTACCGAGTTTCAAGATTTCCTCATCTCCTTTGGAAGTTCAGGTACTTGATAGCGTAGGCAAAGACAAAGCAGAAAAGGACAGCCCAGGCAACATGGGTAACAGCAACTGCTCCGAGGAAGTCGTGTTCAAATCCTTGGAAAATCTTAAGGTAATCATTTAACGGAATATCACCAAGGCCAGGCACTTCTAGTGGTTCCGTCTTATCGCCCACCTGAGATGTGACAAGTCCGTATAATGTCCATGCCACTGGAGAACCCCAGTAATACCACCTCCACCATATTGGGATTTCCTAAAATATCAAGCATTCAAGAATAGTAAGACATTTTGGGTGAAGAAACTTGCCAAAAGCAGTTCACATCTTCAAGTCATGGTTTAGAACCAAGAAAAAGATAAGAAACAAGCATTTGAACAGCTCTACTGAGAATGTAGATTGGAAAACTTATTGAGTGAAAAAAACTGGTTGTCTTTTGCAAGTTTTGGCTTAAAATCATTCCAGTTCCAACAACTTGTATTACAATATCACAAATGAATTAACAATCTCTTTTAAAGAACTACTTAAATTAATTCTTTTTTAACCCGCATAAAGTTGGTTTACCAAAAGAAAATTAGGAATGCATTCAAAATTTGGAAATCAAATGTCTAAAAATATAATACATAACTTGCACAGAACCAATTCCTACTGTTTTCACCCTTGGTATTTTGTACATTATAGACATAATGAAAGTTTCACACTGCCATTTAACATATGTAACTATCTCAAGTCTTTAAACTCTATTTTTATCACCGCATTAATTTTCCAATCATGATATAAACTCAGGATGTATTTGTTCTACTTTTGGTGATTTATTTTCTCAGTAAAGTCATTTTCTAATACTTTGTTTTTATTTACTTGTCTGGGAGAAAGCATGCATCCTACAAAGTTGTTTAATTTATTTTTTACATGATATGACTGCAACGAATTACAAATCAGAAGCTTTTAATAACAGTTAAGAGCATGTAATTACTTTTGTTCTGCAAGGTATTCACTGTAATTTCCTGAGCAAGGACACAAGCATAACTCAGCTTATATGCATCAGACTGATTGTAAAAAGGTAAATTCATATTTCATTTTACTTTTTGATCTTCTTTTTTTTTTTTCCCATAGGAACCACATTCACCAAATACTGCATATTACTTCTCAAACTTCTGGATTTACTTACCGTTCTTGAGATAAGGAAGCCGGAGAACAAATTCCAAAAGCTGAGGAAAAATGTCATGACAATTGCAGCAATCTGGTAACTTGGAGTGAGTGCCACAAGCATCATTCCATATAATGTGAAGTAGACAAAACACATAAATATGTAGAAATAGAACCAAAAGAATTTGTCAGCTTGCCAGTGGAGTCCGATCATGGAGTAAAGGAGAAGGCTATATACGAAAGTTTGGATACTGACGTAAATAATCTCTATTGCCATCTGCGTGTATAATAAAATAGAAAAAATTTACATTGTAAGAGGCAATTTGTTTTCAAACAAACTGGGTATGGATGATTATCATTATACTAAGTTTCTGTTACCTGAGCAAATGCATAAGGTAATGCCGAATACATTCCAGCTGCCTTTTCACGATAGAAGACAGTTCTCTCGACTGCTACAACCGACTGCACAGCAGAAGTATTTGTTCCTCCGAGGAACAAAACAGCAGAATACATAGCTCCGAGTAAGTTCATTAGGTCTTGTTGTTTAGAGCTATTAAAGAAAGATGAGATGTAAGATAAAAGACCAAAGGAGAGAAGACAAAGATCTTGAGTCAATGTTTATTTGGAAAATTGACTAGTTAACTTACATTTTCTCCGCCTTCTTCCAGAAAATAACTCCAAATATAATCCCAATAATTGTTGTCATAAAAAACCTATTGGCATTGTACTGCGGATGCCTCCAGTAAGATAAGTATTGCTTCCAGAAGCAAGCTTTGCACTGAGATATGAAGGATTGGGCATACTTTGTTGGAAAATATAGGTCACTGGACCCTGGGGGTGGAGTGCTGATCTGTTTGATAAGTTCTTGATTCCTCCTGAGAGTGAGAGCAAGAGCAACAGAGATTCGGGATTTTAGTTAGAAAAGTAAAACCAGAAAATAAACAAAACGGAATTCGTGTGCTATGTTTACCGGTATAAATCAGAGTTGGCATAAATTTCAGCAAAGTCCACATTAAGTTGAGCTTCAACAGCAGGAGTACTGATCTCAAGCATCCACGAAGCAGGATTGTAACCTTCTTCGATCTCTGGAACCCCGGGTACAGACTGAAAAAAGAGAGGCATAATCAATTCCGAGATTTAAAATAAAAATAAAAATTGTTTCCATACGCTGGGTTTGCTGAAGGATCACATAAACACGTATGAGCACTATTTGGTATCACCCAGAAATACTTACTCGAAAATATTCTATTAACAGGCAAGAATGATGACCAAGAGGTCCGCCATAAATAACTTGTCCTCCTCTCTTCATTAACAATAGCTACAGGAAAAATGATTTTGCGGCTTAAGAACAAGAAGCTGAGAAACTACTCACAAAGTAAAAAATTCTATAACTCAAGGGCAAGGCACAAAAATATCTTTTTCTTTAGACATATTTGAATGTATAAGTACCTCATCAAAAGCTTCAAAAATATCTATGCTTGGTTGGTGAATAGTGCAGACAACTGTTCGTCCTGTATCTACGGTGTTTCGTACAGTACGCATCACAATTGCTGCAGCTCTAGCATCAAGACCAGACGTGGGTTCGTCCATGAAGATTATGGATGGATTTGCAACCAATTCTACAGCTATAGTTAGCCTCTTTCTTTGTTCAGTTGACAGACCATCTACTCCTGGAAGGCCAACTAAAGCATCTCTCAAGGGATTCAACTCGACCAATTCAATTACTTCCTCAACAAACATCTAACAGGAAGAAGA